TCACATGAAATCTGGACAATACATGGAGTTGATACGTGGACGGTAGATGCTACCAACGATGAAACGGTCTGGTCGGCTTGATTGGTTGTAAAAAAAATGTACTGAGAGAAATCGAAGCGATGCTGGCATATATTCTCCAATATGTTGTTTGTTGTTATGAATGCCTGGTCCCTATGCAAGCTATAGGGAAAGTTAGGACCAAGTTTAGAGCTTAAGCTGCGTGAAAGGGTTCATTTAGGCTGCTGCAGGTGGTACAATCTGCTTAGTCGGTGCCGTTTCTGTCTCCAGAACTTTGTTGGGGTTCCCTTGCATGATGGGGCTGGTCAAGAACTTTTTAGCAGCATATTGGGCCATTTTCTGGATCCCAACCCGAGCGTAAGGCAGCACGAAAGAGGGAAAAACCATGAAGACATGGACGACTCCGTCGTGAATATCGATTTCCCAGTTGGTGACTCCATCGGCTTTCGCTTTGGCAGCCAGTCGACGTGAGTGAGCAAACAGATAATCGAAGCTGGCAGCTTGAAGAAGAATCGGGGGAAGGCCTTGTAGATCGCAATGCACTGGCGAGGCATCTGCCCATTCGAGGGGGTTCTTGCCACTTGGACGATACGTCTCAACACTAGCGGCGATGATACTCGGAGAGAGTACGCAGTTCGGAGCCTTGTTCTTGCCATCATCACCCGTGAGATCAGCAAGCGGACATGCTACAATAGCAGCAAGTGGCAGTGGCAGCTTTGGCTTCCAACTTGACTTCCCGTCTCGAACTCGAAGCAGTGTGGACATGACAAGACCACCACCGGCACTGTCGCCCACTAGAATGATTTGAGAGGGCTCCAGCTTCTCGTGCTGGAGCAAATATTCGTACATGGCGACAGCATCTTCGGCTGGTGCTGGAAACGGATATTCTGGTATCTTGCGGTAATTTGCCATGAACAAGTCGACCGTGATGTCTTCACCAGACGTCTGTAAGCTCATCTTGCGCTTGACTGCGTCCAAGAGCTCGCAGCAGAATGGAATGTACATACGTGGACTGAGTACAGAATAACCACCTCCATGGTAGAAGAGCATCACCAGCCGTTTCCTGTCCTTAGTACTTGAAAAAGATGATTTCACCCAAAGGTGCTCCAGCCCGTTGTAGTGCACTGATTGGAGCTGTAGATCATAACGACGAAGAGCAAACCACCCCATGAACGACCCAAATAGCTCACTGTGCCAACGGACGACTGGGGCTTGGATCGGATCCACCATGCGATCACCGAACATGGTGGCAGCGTCGTGCATAACACCACGAACGAGCTCGAAGCGAAGCGTCCATTTGGAAAACTTTGGCTTGAACCCCCGAGAAACGAACTGCACTGTCGTGCTCCCAAGCGTCCGGGAGATTTGAACCAGGAATCGTGCGGTCTCCATTGGAGTTCGGCACAGCGAACGCGACGACTCCAGAAGAAAGAGCACAACGACGACTCCACAAACTCCATTAGTCACCAATGAATGATATTCGCGACGTTGCTCTTGATTTGCCACAAGCCATAGCAGAAATGCAAGCAGCAGTAACTGTAGCAGCCGACGCTGGCACTTTTGAAGCTCCGAAGTTGATGTCGAATTCTTCATCCTTGGTCTGCGCTCTTTGGTGAATTATGAAGTGTCAGGAAGCGGGTCACTTGATGCTATATCTGGGTTTGGGGTGGATCCATTTACCAATTAGCGAACAATCAAAAAAATGTTTACCACAACTGCGACCGTTGGAAATGAGATTAGAATACGTGTAGATGAGGCTATTTTAACACAGCTTTAGCTCCCAAAAACAGTATTTAATGATAAACGACCATCGGTACCCGTACAAACTTGCTAAAAACTAGTTTTCTCTTTGAGAACCTTTATTTTTTAGAAGTTCCGAAGCTTATCACTTCGAAGAATAGTGCAATTGCATAAAAAGAATTGCAAACGAGCTGTACAATTCATTTCTAAAGACATTTTGCTGAAAAACTTACAGTGCATTGCTCGATAATTAAATTATGCGTACGCAAGGGGCGTGGTTGCTTCTTGCCGTAAAATACTTAGTACCAAAACTTCTACTATATCGATCTGCACGAATACATGTTCTATGTGTAGCCGTGGTGCCGTAAAGCATGCCGTAGGTATCGCTCCGATCGGCCCCGAAATTTGATTTCGGTGTCCTGTCTTCCTACAATGAAATTAGTGTCATTCGCTCCGGTATCGCCAGGCGGATCGATTGGTCTTTGGTTAATTCTTTGATGTTTATTTAAGAGCTAAGGGAGGATCTGACAGGAGTGATTTCAGTGAATTGTTAAAACCCGGTAATTTGTTAGATCTAGCATTACCGGTAATCAAATCAAAAAGGGTTAATACAAATTCTAAGTGACGCAAACATTTACCATACTCAATACGTTGTGTTTGAAACCGCGAAAAATTTAACACCTTGCGTCCGGACGGTACTTGCCCAGAACGCGTAAGCGCATGTCGTAAGATACGGTATATCAATGTTACTACGTATTTGTATGGGTGCACTTTTTGACGTGAGGTTAGGTGCATTAATTTTCAACAGGTTTTTCTTTCAATGTCGTAACTCTGACGGGATTCAGCGACAGTATTGCCTGCTCAATGTCGTAACTGACTGCAAGTGCAGTCAACAGATGGCTAAATTGCTTCACAGGCAGTCCACTTAAATCAAGAAACGCAAGGACGAAGGTACGATGGTTCAAGAAGCTGTGTATTTGAAACAAATCACTAATCCACTGAAAGGTTGAAACCCCAACCAGCTCACCTCCTCATCATTACCATTCTCGTTGTTCACCACCGCTTGCCGCTCCTCCTCGCCCAACAATCTGTCCCAGATTCAAATTCCCGCTCCGGTTTTTCTTTTCTTGGGGCCAATTTTTTGGGACGCGGTCCAGGGAACACATGCGCTTCCCTAAGTTTGGTGGGATAGCTTGCCCGGCGTCGAAGTCATCATGCCAGATATCATAGCATGTCTTCGCAACGCCCTTGTATTCCCGTCGAATACGGTTGCACAACCAGCATTTTGCATTATCAACGGAGCAGCGTTCGCAAAAGAACGTTGTTGCGAAGGACTTCTTCTTTTCAGTACCCAAGAGCGCGCAGACCTTGCACGATCTCTGCCGGCGTTTCTGGACCCCAGTAACGGTAACCAAATCTTCAGACTGCTGCAGCGCGTGCGTGAGGCGTACTGGGGTGCGCTGGCGCTTTTGTCTCGCAGGAGGCGGTGTTGCCTCCACTCCAGCAAAATCTTCGGCTTTGAGTTGGAGAAGTTGATTTTGAAGAGCGCAAAACCACTCTGAGCGCTTCATAGCAGCCATTCCCTTGATCTTGGCCCCCTCTTTGTGCGTAAGATACGAATTTACCATGACCATGTCCAGCAAACCTAAGAATAGGCTCTTATAATATTTCGTGAACCTCGTCGACATTTGCAGTGAATACGACTGGAGACGGCGTTGATCGTGGACATCAACTCCGCTCATCCAGTTCTGGTAGTCATTTACAACAGAGGGGCACGGCACTCGAACCGCACCGATACGTTTTATTTTTCGCTCAATTGTCGACGCCGCCATAATGGAGCCCGTACAGAGATAATAGACGGGCTTCCGGTCCCACCAAACACAGGAAATCATGGTCGGGATGGCGATAGAGCGAGAGAACGAGAATGTACCGTGGGGTATGCTCACTGGGCGTGTCTTGCTCGTAGCCCTGAGATTCGGGTTGAATCCAAGCCGGTTAGTCATGATCGTGCCAATAACATACACCTTCATACTCAGGAGCTCAATCGCAAGGAGCGCGGACGAGTAGTAGCGATCGATCACGACGGTATGCCACTTGTGACGAGACTGGGCGAGAACAATCTTCAAATTCCGTACCACGGCTGCAGCTCCAGTCTTAAAGTCAACTGAGGTGTCAGGTCCACCAGCAGACGCACGCTTACCCACATAAACTTCGAACCTAGATAGTTACGACATTCACTGTTGTCAGGCAAACACAAACTAGATAGTTACGACATACAAATTTTAAACGTACCTGTGGCAGTTTGCCGTCTGCGCGTCACAGACCATAAATAGTTTGGACCCGTAGCGGTGAGGCTTGTCGGCCATGAACATCCGGGTCGTGTTCCGCTTCGACGTGGACGGCAGTATACCCTCATCAAACGAAAAAATAGCAGAAAGAGACCACCCCAGCAAAAAGCGCTCTTGGACCTTGTCAACAACGGGGCGAAGTTTCCAGAGTTTATCGTTACCGTGGTCAATCGTGTTGTCTACGAAGTGCAAGTCTCGCATGATACTCTGGCACCTGTCACGCGTCATGAACCGCCCGAAAAGACCGGCGGGAACAGCACCGTCTTCCACCATACTCCAGTGCGCACCAAATCGTTTCTTTTGAGGGCAGAGCATCCGTGCAACGAGGAGTCCAACAACGTGAAGAATCTCGTGTGTAGAGTATGCTGCCTTAGCCTTCAAACGACGTGTAATCTGCTTGATAGTTTCACGCCGAAGGTCAGTCTGCCGTGCCTGAATGTTACGGGCGCGCTTGCCAGCTTGCTGTAGACCATATCGGTTCGTTTCAGCCGCGATAGAAACCCACAGAGATTTCGGCATGAAATAAAAGAAGGTGAGGATTGGCGATCTCCATAATTGCAGCAGGTCGGGCACAGGCCTTGCTTCTTCGGTGCCCAGTCCAGGGTACGCAGCAGCATCTGTCTCGTACTCCGAAGACACTGGCGTCCACTGCATTCCTCGTAGTGTCTGCTCTCTCTCCGTTGCAGCGGTTCTGCTAAGTGCGTTATTGCCCACCTGTAGTGCCGCAATGAAAGCCTTGTCCATTTCAACTGCGTCACTGTCGGACAGGACGTCGTCATCTTCCTCGGACATCCCGGCTCCGGAATCGCTGTTAATATCACTCATGCCGTCGTCGTCGCTATCACCCGAGCTGTAGTTCTCGTAGTCACTCGGCTTCTCCCCATCCAGCAAAACATTCACGTCCTCTTTGCCTGATAACGGCGTAAGTGTCCGTCGTCGAGGTTGAGACGCAGCGGCTTCTTCTTCGTCTACATCACCCTCGCTCTCTAATCCAGAAGCCTCCGAAAGTAAATGCAGTCCAGCAGCGGCCTCGCGGGCACCGCCGTCTTGTAGATTTTCTGAGGATAGATTGAATGCTCTGCTCACTGCAGTCTGCGACAGCTCGATGTCATCATCACTTGGGGTGCCGAACATTCGATCAATGGTATGCTGCGAAAGAAGAACACTCGTGTCGATCTGGGAAGGCCGAACGACGTCTTCCCCCTCGTGTTGTTGCTCTTCACCACTACTACCAGCTCCTGCTTGGTCTAGTTCCCCACCTTCTTCATCTCGGACTTGAGCATCAGCATCCGCCTCTTCCAGCAAGCCACTGTCGAACGCGTAGTCCACGACTGATTTCTCCCCCCACGAAGACGTGCGTGTTGTCAGGACTCGAGTAGCTCCACTCAGTCTGGAGGCCACTCGGACGCTTGGACTTCCACCCCGCCGCCCGAAGCTGCCGCCATAAGTGGCCAAAGTCAATATCGTGTGTAGCGGCAGCCGGCGCGGCGGGCTTCTCGCGTCGACTATTCCGTATGCGCACCATCCAGCAAAATGTCGAATGAGTGGCTGTTCACGACGTGGCTGATCCCCTTCCCCTGGCCTGGTTTTGACTTGTAGCAAAATGACCTCTCGCAGATTATATTTTTGTGGTAACTTGATTAAAGTATTGAAAAAACTTTTCCGAGCCATTTGCTAATGACCTTCGTGCAATGTCGTAATATACGACGTAACAAAAATAATATGTCGTCTTATACGACGTTCGTAAGCAAGGTGTTAACAATTTCTTGCATGTCATTCGAACGGTAATGTATTAACCAATGGTAATTAAGCACGTTGCAAATGAAGGGAGCTTGTTCAATCACTTACTTTTATAAAATGCTGAATTGATACCTCAATTCTAGAAGCATTTAGTCCCAGCCTATATGCCTTTAGCTAACGGCACTACCAAAGCGCCAGAAATACAGCCCGCGCTAAGGACGGCATATAATGCAGAATGTAGCCTATAAGCAGCGCCGACACAAGCAGCCTACTGTTTTCATTGGGAAAAACTAAAGAGCTCGAGCTTAGGGAGCTTGAGGTACCCAAAATTAGAAATAGGGGTAATGCGGTGTACCCAAATGCATTTT